GGACACTGAGGGACCTGCCGGCCAATCACTGATCAGCGAACAAAGAAAGTCCGTCTGGCCGCAGACTGCAGGAAGCCAAGGATGAATATCCAACTCCACCACATCCAAGTCGGACATTTTGATTAGGTCACCAATAGGAAGATCCCAGGCAAGAAAATGTTAATTGCTTCATGACATTATAGACATTAGTTTAAAAATAGTTAAATTAATCTTGCAAACACTGAATTAAACTCTATCCATAATATTATGTTAAAATAGTGGATGTTAAATAGGTTTGTACAATAAGTCCAAACAAGTTTAACCAACAAATATTTATTTCTCACAATTATGAAAGGTGGAGGGTTAGGGTTAGGGGAGAGCTGTAGTGCACGATCCATCCTGCTTTTTGCCACAGGGTCCTTTTATACTTTTTACCTTCAACTTCCCTTACTTTCCTTTAATTGGTTTTACTCTTCTTGGTTTGCATGCACTCTTTCCTTAGGTTGACTTTCTTTAGTATTTCTTTGCCCTTTGTTTCCTCTTTGACAACATTTAGACGTCTTCTTCAGGTCTATGTTTCTGTGTGTTTTCCTTTTTCTTCTTCTTAATTTGGGTTAGGCACCCCCTCTTCTGTTCGGTTCTTCCTTGTATTTACGCTTTCTTTCTATTCTTCCTTATATTTAGGTTTTTTTCTTCCTTTCTAGGGTTAGGGTTGGGAGGGGGAGGGGTTAGGGTCAGGTTTAGGTTTATGGTTAGGGTTGGGGTTAGAGCATTGTTAATCTTCTGATTTCGTATAGACAGTAAAGTTTTGTTTCCACTTCAGAAAGCTGCTAGTCACATGACCTAATCAAAATGGCCGACTTGGACGTGGCAGGAGCTGGAGATCCAGCCGGGGCTCCTACAGACTGCAGCCAGAGGCTGCTCGGTGTGGCGGGGGCTGGACTGACTGCAGACGTGGGCCAGGCAGCAGCTGCCCTCGGCTCTGGTGGGCACCAGCGTCTGGTCCTCCCGGCAGGAGGGGACGTCCGACTGGCAGAGCCGGGGGTCGCACTCTGAAAGCCACGCCCAAAACAAAAGGTCAGAACAGACAGGAGAAGATGGACCTGGAACTCTTTACCATCTGACACTTGAAATACCGACTCTCTCCCTCTTTTCAAAACAAAGCTCAAAGCCCACCTGTTTAAAATTTCTTACTTTCTCACCACCCCTAACTCCAACATTCCCCTCAATCTGCACAGTTTTAGTCATTCCATTTTTATTGATTTATGATGTATTTATGACTTTGTATGTTTTTTTATGTTTCAATGTTGTTTTGATGTACTGTACTGTACTTAGTCTGTATTTTTTTGCATTTTTACTGTCTTTGTGCCACTTTTTTGCCCTGTAAGATGCTGGTAACTTTAATTTCCTGAGTGAGTCTTCCCAAGGGATCAATAAAGTACAAGTCTAAGTCTAAGTCTAAGTTAATACTGAGTTTATACTGCTGTTTTAAGGATGATCGTCTTTGTAAAGTGTCCTTGAGTGGCATGAAAGGCACTTTTTAAGAATAAAATGTGTTATTAAATGTGTTATTATTATCATTATGTGGATAACCCACCACAGACGTGGTCGGGGCAGCAGGAGTCCGGCCGGTAGTAGGACACCAGCTTCTCCCCGTAGGCGCAGGCGGGGGGCAGCAGCTCACACAGGCTCTGGTTACACACTGCAGACACCCACAGACCCCCACAGAGACCCTCAGACACCCGGCCCTCAGCCTCACTCAGAGCACAGCGGCCGGGGGCGGGGGGCTCACCGCAGACTCTCCGCGGGCAGCAGCTGGCGTCGTCGGCCATGCTGACCAGTGCCTCTCCGGCCCGCCGGCAGGCCGGCGCGGGCGTGCTGGAGCAGTCGTACTGTACGGGCAGCACGCTGTCGTTGGCGCAGCGGTACATGCAGCAGCCGTC